GAGGGAACACAAGCAGGGGGAGTGGGAGAGGGAGAAGCAGGCTTCCCGCCGAGCAGGGAGCCCGATGTGGGGCTCGATCCCAGGACCCCAGGATCACGACCTGAGCCAAAGGCAGACGCTTAACAACTGAGCCACCCAGGTGCCCCGAGACTATGCTTTTTCATTGAATGGTCTTGATACTTTTGTCAAAAATCATTTGACCATATACACAAGGGTTTATTTCTGAAATCTGTTCTGTTCCGTGGTCTATATGTCTGTATGCCACTGCCATACTGTTTTGATTAGTGTAACTTTTTAATATGTTTTGAAATCAGGAAACTTGTGTCCTGCAACTTTGTTCTTCTTTTCAAAATTATTTGAGATTCCGTAAGAATTTTAGGATGATTTTTTTTTTCTATTTCTAAAATAAAAAAACCTGACAGTAGAAAAAAAATGACATTAGAATTTTAAAAGGGATTACATAGAATCTGTAGGTTGCTTTGGGTACTGTTGACATCTTAATGGTATTGTGTTCCTTTCTGTAAACATGGGAATGTTTCTATTTATTATCTCAAATTTCTTTCAGCGGTGTTTTGTAGTTTTTAGCATTATGAGTGTTTCATCTCCTTGGTTAGGTTTATGTCTAAGAATTTTATTCTTTTGTGATGCTTTTGTAAATGAGATTTTCCCCCCCTTACTTTCCTCTTCTGATTGTTCATTTTGGTATATAGAAACACAATTGATTTTTGTGTCTTGATTTTATATCCTTCAACTTGGAAGAAGTCATTTATCTAACAGTGTTTCTGTGCAATCTTCAGGGTTTTCTACATCTCATAGGTGAACAAAGATAATTTTACTTCTTTCTTTCCAGTTTGGATGCTTTTTATTTCTTTTTCTTGCCTAGTTGCTCTGGCTAGGACTCCCAATACTGTGTTGAATAGAGGTGGCAAGAGCAGGCATCATTGTTTCTTGTCTTAGAGAAAAGCCTTTCAGCCCTTCACCTTTGAATATATTAGCTGTGGGCTTTTCATATATGGCCTTTATTCTGTTAGGTAATTTTCTTCTGTTATTAGTTTGTTGAGTGTTTTTATCATGAAAGAGTGCTGAATCATGTCAAATACTTTTTCTGCATCAATTGAGATGCTGTTGTGGTTTTTGTCCTTCTTTACATTAAGGTGGGATGATTTTCATATGTTGGACCATTCTTGCATTCCAGGAGTAAATCCCATTGGTCATGATGTATAATCCTTTTAATGTACTTTTGAATTCAGTTTGCTGATACTTTTTTAAAGTGGTTACTAAATTGGAAGGGCTTACTATTTCTATTTTGTTTTCTGTATATCTTGTAGCTTTTGTCCCTCTTTTCCTCTCTACTGTCCTCCTTAGTGTTTCATTGATTTTTTTGTAGTGACATAATTTTCTCTTTCTTACTTCCTTTTGTGTATTATATTCTATAAATATTTTCCTTTTAGTTATTGCAATTACATAAAACATCTTAAGGTTATACATTCTGTTTTAAGCTGATAACAATTTTATTTCGACTGCATACAGAAACTGAACTTTTATAAGCTCCACCCCCCCACTTTGTTACTGATGTCATAAATTGCACCTTTATATAAAGATGCAGCATAGGAAATACAGCCAGTGATATTTTAATAGCATTGTATGGTGACAGATGGTAGCTACACTTGTGGTGAGCATAGCACAATGTATAGAGATGTTGAATCACTGTTGTATACCTGAAATTAATGTAACTATGTAATGTATTAATGTATAATGTATTAATGTAACTAATGTAATTAATAGTGTGTCAGCTATACTCAAATTAAAAAATAAAAAAATAAGAGAGAAAAGGTTACCAGTAAATTAGATTTTGAAAGTGAGTAAGTAGATATTCATTGAATAATTACTCAATCACATCTATATAGATTGTATATTCATTAACATAGGAATATCGTTATTCATGTTTTTGTCATTTAAGTTTTGAATAAGAATTAAACTTATACATCAAAATTACCTTCATAGAGGTTACTGTATTGGTTCACATGTTCACCTTTCCTGGAAACTGTTTTCATGTGGCTTCATGTTGCTGTCTAAGGTTCTTTCATCTTGAAGGACTCCCTTTAGCATTTCTTGCAGATCAGGTCTAGTTGTAATGAATTTTGTCAGCTTTTTTTTTTTTTTTTAATCTGGGAAAATCTTAATTTCTCCATTTTTGAAGCAGAGTTCTGATGGCTACAGTATTCTTGATTTTTTTTTTTTCCCTTTTAACACTTTGACTCTATCATGCCACTCCTATGGTCTGCAAGAAGATTTCTGCTGATAAGTCCACTGATAATTTTAAGGAAGTTCCCTTGTATGTAATGAGTTGCTTTTCTCTTGATGTTCTCAAGATTCTCTCCTTGGTTTTGACTTTTGACAGTTTGATTGTAATGTGTCTTTGTGTGGGCTTCTTTAGATTTATTGGATTTATCCTGGTTGGAGTTCTTCAAGCTTCTTGAATTTCCATGTTCATTTCTCTCCTCAGATTTGGGAAGTTTTTAGCCATTATTACTTCAAATAAGCTCTCTGTCCCTTTCTCTCTTCTTCCAGGATCCCATTATATGTGTATTGGTCTTGACGTTGTCCCATCTTAGGATCTATTTATGTTTCTTCATTCCTTTTTCTTTTTACTCTGATCGATGATTTCAAATGATCTGTCTTTATGTTTGCTAATTCTTTCTTCTGCCTGATCAAATCTGATGTTGAACCCCTTTGGTGAATTTTTCAATTCACTTGTGTTTTCCAGCTCCAGAATTTGTTTGGTTCATTTTTTATAGTTGCTCTTTGTTGATATTCTCATTTTGTTCATGCATCATTTTCCTGAGTCCATTAATTGTCTTTGTTCTCTTTTAGTTCATTCTGTGTTTCTTTAGGTTAGATTTCTGGAATGTTATTTTGTTCCTTTGGGCCATTTTTCCCTATTTCTTTGCATGCCTTGTGATCTTTTTTATTGAGACCTAATCATTTGAAAGAAACAACTACCTGTCCCATCGTTATAACCTGGCATCATGGAACAGAAGACTTTCACTGATTAGCCCAGCTGGAGGTTCCAGGACCTCTCTAACCAATTTGAGGATGTATGTTCTCTGAGCCTGTGTGTGTACTTTTAGATTCCCTAGGGAGCTTGTCTGTTTCTTCTCAGTGCTCATAATCTCTTGCTCCCTTTGACATCTGCCTGTGGAACTGCAGCTCTAATGTGCTATGATGATAGCATTTGTTTTCAGTGGCTTCCAAACAAGGCCGCCTATCCCATTAGTGCTCTAGTCAAGTGAGACAGAAACTAGTCTCTCAGGCAACCCCAGACTAGCCATAATATTGGATGCAGAGTCCCCTCTTCTGTTTCCATCCAGAGGGAGGATCTCAAGTGTAGGAAGGATAGGGGAGGAACATAGGTGGGCACACAAAACTCTGCATATTTTCCTTTCCTTTTGCTGGAATTCCTTGGGTTTTTTTGTTCGTCTTGGTGCTGTTGCTTCTCAGTTGGTCTTTAGAGTTCTTGCAAACTGGTATTCTGGTCTTTGTTGTTGTTAACTTGGTGTCTGTGGAGGAATGAGGGCCTGAAGCTTCCTAGTCTGTGACCTTGCTGACATCACTCCTTTTCAGGAGTTTCCAAACAATGCTTCCAGTGCCATCAAGTGCTTTGAGTCAAGTTTGAGACAGAAACTAGTTCCTGAGGCAGCTTCAAGACAAGCCAAAGTATTGAATACAAGGTCCACTCGTGTTTCTGTCCAAGGGACAATCCCCAGTGTGGGAGGTTTCTTCTGGGTTGCATTGTGTGAGGTTAGATTGGGGGGGTGGGGTTTGTTATTTCCTTCTTTCCCTTCCCTGCAGTATCTCTTCCCTATATACCTTATTCTTTTCCAGAGCATTTCTCTTAGGCTGCCAACCCTCTTCTCTGTAATCAAGTGCTGTGAAATATGAAAGTTGTGACCTGTGTTTGTTATTTTGGCATTTGGTTGTACTTTTTCTTTCTGGGGGTAATTTTATTTGTACTTCATCTAAGTCTTCCATGCATCTTGATTTCTTTCCAGAGTCTTTTAAACCTCCTCTTCTTGCTGTCTTTATTAACAGACTTTAACAGTATAAGATGGTGAGAGTTCTGTTAGAATCTAACTTACTTCTTAGAGGTAATTTGAAGCTTCTAGTAGTCTCTTTTTCTTAGTAATGCTAAAGGCATAGGTTCTATGTGATTTTACCAGCTCTTTTTACTGTATTCTAGGATCACCATTTTCTTCCAGACCTTAAAGTCAGCCCTATATTGCTTTTTAATATGGGTAAAAGGGCAACCTTGTTTATATTATTATGGCTCACCTCCAGAAGCCACTAGGTTCCTGCCTCATTCAGACTTTGCTGTTCTCTGCAGGTTCTTGAGCAGGCCAGAGTGGAAATCCCCCTGTTTCCCTTCAGCATTGTCCAGTTCTCTTTTGAACCCTTTTCACCCAACCTCACTGAGGAGATGAACAAGAGGGTAAGTAAATGAGTTGTGCTAGAGGATTTATTTAATGAGTTATAATCTCCCTGCATTAATGAAAGTAATGCATACTTTAATAAGTTTGTTCTATATTTCTTCAGATTTTTTCTATGTGTTTATTAATATTTTAGAAAATACATTTTTATAGAAATGGGCATCAAACTATACTAATTGGCAACTTTTTCATTTAGCAATGTATTGTGTACATCTTCTGATGTCAGTCATGATCTTATTTCCCTTGTTTTTAATGGCTGTATAGTATTCCCCTGTATTATATACCTATTATTTTCATCATTGGTGCTTTATAAATTTTTGCTATTCCAAATAATGCAGTTGTCAAATCCCTGTATACAATTTTTGTATATTCTGCAAGTGTTTGTGTTGAGAAATTCCTTAAACCAGAATTATCCCATGTTTTGTCTCATGTTTTCTTTAGATTTGACTTAATTCTCTTACCACATTCACTTCCTCACTGTATTCTATTTTTCTTGTAGATGAGAATCAAGTGGACAGAGATGTCAACTGTTTATGCTGGGCCATTTAGCAAAAATTGCAACCTCAGGGCTCTGAAAAGGCTGTTTAAGAGCTTTGGCCCAATCCGGTCAATGACTCTTGTTCTTGAAACCCATCAGGTAATGAGATGATAAAACTTGGATTTTCACCTCTAGATTAGTGTTGGAAATTCAGATGCCTCCTGGGGCCATTCACATAACAAGTATTAGTGATGTAAGCTTGATTGTCACCAACTGGAGTATGAGTCATGTTGTTTGATGAAACAGTTCTTAACTCACAAGGATGTGTACCCAGTATTGCCAGATTCTCTGACTGTTTTGTTTTGAGAATCAGGAAATCTGCCATCTTTAAAAGTGACCTAAGTATGGAATCCTGGATGTTTAAAATGTGCTTTCTCTGAATCTTTTATTAATGTCTGTCTTATATCTAAAAATAGAAATAGATTCCCTGGGAAGATGGACCTAAGGGATGGGAAGTATATGTCCGGGGACTATAACCTCTTGCTATAAGTCTTGGGGTTTTTTTCCTCTTTTTTTGATAAAATATATGTAAAATTTGTTTTAACTTTTTAAATATACAGTTCTGTGTTACTAAGTATAGTAGTACCCCCTTAGGCATGGTTTCAGTTACTCATAGTCCAGAAGCAGTTGATACTCTTTCTGACATATCATCCGAAAGTTATCAGTAGCCTAACACTACCTCACAATGCCTGTGTATGTCACTCACCCTACTGCATTTTATCGTCTCACATCATCACAAGAAGGGTAAGTACAGTGGAATATTTTGAGATAGAGACCACATTCACATAACTTTATTACAGTATATTATAATTATTTTATTATTTGTTATTTTAATCTCTTACTGTGCCTAATTTATAAATTAAACCTTATCAAATACAAAAATCTGTAGGAAAAGACATAGTATTTATAGGGTTCAGTACTCTCTGTGGTTTCAGGCATCTGCTGGGGGTCTTGGAATGTATCCAGAAAGTTTTCATCATCCCAAACTGAAACTCTGTACCCCTTAAACAATAACTCTTCAGTCCCTGTCCCCTAGGCGTGGTAAGCACTATTGTGCTTTCTGTTTTTATGAATTTGACTACACTGTTACATACATCCTGTAAGTGAAATCATATAGTACTTGTCCTTTTGTGTCTGGCTTATTTCACTTAGCGGAATGTCTTCAAGGTTCATCCATGCTGTGGCATGTGTCAGAATCTCATTCCTTTTCAAGGACAGATACAATATTCCATTGTGTGGGGATGTACTACATTTTGTTTATCCATTCATCTGTTGATGAACATTTGGATTGTTTCCCTTTTTTGGCTATTCTGAATAATACTGCTGTGAATATAGATGTACAAATATCCATTGGAGTCTCTGTTTTTAATTCTTGTGGGTGTATACCCAAAGTGCAATTGCTGGGTTAAATGATAATTCTGTGTATAATTTCAGAACTGCCATACTGTTTTCCACAGTGGCTATATGGTTTTACACTCCTGTTTCTCTATATTCCAGCTGACACTTGTTTTTTTTCTGTCTCTCATTCTTCCTCTTTCTTCTTTCTTTGTCTTTCTTTAAGTACTAGCCATCCTAATGGATGTGAAGTTTTGATTTGCATCTCCCTAATGATTAGTGATATTGAGCATCTTTTTATATGCTTATTGGTCACTTTGGCCACTTCTTTGGAGAAATACCTATTCAAGTCCTTTGCCTATTTTTAATTGGATTATTTGATTTTTTGTTGTTGAGTTTTAGGAGTTTATGTATTTTAGATATGAAATCTTCGTTAAGATACATGATTTGCAAATATTTGCTCCCATTCATAGGACTGCTTTTTAACACTGTTGATAGTGTCCTTTGATGCACTTTTTAATTCTGATAAAGTCCAGTTTGTCTTATTTTCTTTTGTTACCTCTGCTTTTGGTGTCACATTCAGGAAATCATTGACAAATCCAGTATCATGAAGCTTTTGTCTTGGAGCACTTTTGTCTCCATGATGATGCTGTATGTCACATCATCAAGCAGAAAAGCAGTCAGTTTGAAGATGCAGCCTATCCAATGGAAGCACTTAACCTCCCCAAGCTTATAGGAAAGCTGCCTGTGTGAAATTAAGCTCTCAAGACAAATGAGAATCTAAATGACTTGCAGTGATGACTTCAGTGGTTCATAATAAATAATACTGAAAAGCAAGTTGATTAGTAAACATTTATTAGTGCTTTGCCCATACCACCCAGGGCGAGAAGACTTCAGTTTTAATTGACAAATAAAGGTTATTTATTGGCTGAGAAATCAGTTCTTGAACCTTGGTGATTCTACTTAAAGTTGATCTACAGTTGCTATCTAGCCCAGCACAGCAAAGAGAACATTCATTTTGGTGGCTTTGGCCACTAGTTTAGGGCCCTTTCCCAGTCCCTCCTCTAGCAGTTTGAGCCTAGAAAGCAGAGGTAAGAAAATCTTGTTTTTTTTTTCTGCAGCCACATCTCTGTATACAATATGAAGTCCTGGAAGCTGCCCAGCTGGCCATAGAATCCTTGGATGGCATTCTGGTAGAAGGTGCCTGCATTAAGGTATAGTGGCCAGAGAAAGCAAAAAGGAGCACCCTTCATTCAGCGCTGACCTAGCACAGCCTGTATTTATAGTGCCCTAGTATATAAAAGCTTAGAGAAAAGCCCTCAAGAGGCCCGAGCACAAGACTCTGTGTTATGGAAAGTCTTCAGCCAAGCCCAGCATTCTTCTAGCAGTGACCTAAAATATGAAAACTTTCATTTTTGTCAGAATCAGCCTGGGCTACATTGGGGTCTTCCTTGTATTCTTCATCACCACTTAGACCCCAGATGGTTTATTCTGGGTGTTTTTCTGTAGCTGCCCTTTCCTTTAGCTTTCAGGGGGATCAAATGGTGTTTTGAAGCATGATCAGTTGCATTGGCGTAGAAGTCAGGGAACTCATTTCCATTGCAGGGTGTTTGGGCAGGGAGGAGAGAGTATGTTTACACAAAAACATTTGTATTTATGTATTTATTAAGTCTCTACTATAGTCCTCTGAGGCATTTATCACTAGCCTCCTTATACAGATAAGGAAACTACAGAATTAAGTTACTTGCTAGTATAGAATAGGCCTAAAGGTTGAAGTGGTGGCCTTTTTTTTTTTTTTTTAAGATTTATTATTTTGAGAGAGAGAGAGCAGGGAGGAGGGGCAGAGGGAGAGAGTCCCAGGCAGACTCTGCGTTGAGCGTGGAGGAGCCCAGTGCAAGGCTTTGATCTCACAACCCTGAAATCATGACCTGAGCCAAAACCAAGAGTTGGAGGCTTAACCAACTGCGCCACTAAGGCACCCCTAAGTGGTGACTTTCTACCACTAATGCCATCTTCCTTGGTTAGGTGCAGAGGCCTGTGACAGAGCTCACCCTTGATTGTAACACTCTTGTGAATGAGCTAGAACAAGATTCTGAGAACCGAGGTACTATATACCTGTCTGGAGTGAGCGAAACCTTTAAAGAACACCTATTGCAGCAGTCCAACCTCTTCCTTGGCCTGGAAGCTGTCATCTTGCCTAAAGATCTTAAAAGTGGAAAGCAAAAAAGATACTGTTTCCTGAGTAAGTCTATGGTATGGAATGTAACCTTGGGGAAGGAGATTAGGGATGGTGATAACATGAGGTCAGAGAAGGGAAATGTTCACCAGATAAGCCCACCTGGGATGCTGGACCACGTTACCAGCTGATTCTGTTCTCCCTTGGCCCTGGCTGGCCTCCAACCTGGACGACCAGGCTTTGTGGCCCTTAATAACAGAAGGGGCTATTCTTGCTTTCAGAATTCAAAACTTTTGGCAGTGCCCAAAGGGCCCTCAACATTCTCAAAGGCAAGCACTGGAAGCTGAAAGGCCGGCATGCCCTAACCCCCAGGCATCTCCATGCTTGGCTCAGGGGCTTACCTCCTGAATCAAGAAGGCCCCCAGGGGTTCGTGTCATACCTCCCCCCTCCGAGCAGCAAGCCTTACAGGTGAGTGAGTGAGTGAGTGAGTGTATCCTAGTGTCAGAGATAGCTGCCTTGGTTTGCTAGCTCTAAGCATTGATTTGCCTTCTGGTGTTTATGGAAGTTAGGAGAGTCCAGCTCAAGTGACACTTAAGCCTTTGAATCTTTTTTTTTTTTTTTTTCCTGCCCTGGCACTAGTTTTATTTCACTCTCCAGCTTCTTCCAGCCCTGGACACGTTTTTCTTTCTCCAAGATCTCATACTTTTGCCTGCTCCATACCTGCTACAATTAGGCTTTTAATCCTCCAGGTGGCTCTCCAAGGGACCTTGAGGGGCTAACACAGGAGGTTAAAGAGCTGGGCAAGTCTTTAGTAATCTAGCATCCCAAAGTGTAGTACATATACAAGATAATTTTTAGTGGTCATAGATGGAGTTTTTTCCCCGCTTTTATGCTAAGGTCTTGTTCTAACGCTTATTATACAACAATCACATTGAGCCCATGACTTCATAGATATATTTCATTGAGCTGAAGGAAGAAACTGACTCGCTTTAAAGAAAACTATTAGAGGGATACACAAGTAGAAGGGTGAAGGTAGAAGATGAATGGCTGAAGTTTGGGAAACCCTGTCCTGGTCTAATCTCCCACACTTAACAGATGAGAAATAGAAGCCAGAGCTGGTTGAGTGATTTGCCCAGATCACAAAGATACTTAATGGCAGGGGCCATTAGTGATGTGGTTCCTCTGCCTCAGGGTCCTGGAAGACCCACTCCATATGGAGAAAAGAGCAACAGTTGTACTCCTAAACTGCCTGTGACCTGGAGATGCTGGGGTTGACAGGGAACCCTGAAGTTTGGGCTTTAGCTTCAGATAGAGGATTTACACAGAACCTTTCCTGGGATCCCATGGTCCTAGAGCCTGAAGAAGAAAGTTGCAGTCCCTCCAAAGGTGAGCAGAGGATACTCTGGCTGAGTGTCAACATGTGGCTTTGATCTTAGGCTCTGAAGGTGGACCACCCAAAGATAGCAGCCTGGCGCTGGGGCCGGAAGATAGGAAAGCTCTACCACAGCCTGGGCCCAGGCACCCTCTGCCTCATCTTGCTGCCAGGAACCAAGAGGTAAGGACTGAAGGGTTGTCCCTTCAGGATTCTGGCCTCTGGGACTTTAGCTATTCTTAGAGAAAGGCCTTTTGTTGACATTCAGGCACATAAATGAGAACTTCTAGAAATCCTCTCTTAATCCTTAGTTTTAAGAGATAGGTATTATATCTCCACTTTACGCATATATGCTCTTCTCTAATTACACTTATTAGCCACTCAGGGAGATCGCCATCCCAGTTTAAAGCCAGAGGTCTTAGGTCCTGCAGCCTCTGTGGGACAAGAGGCAGCTGCCTAACCCCACTTGAGTAAAAACAGTCAAAGAAGGTCTAGGGGAAGGCCCAGACCAGATATGATCTTTCCCACATTTCAGGAGCATGTTCCTGCCTTTTCCCATTTCCCTCTTTGCTGATTCTAAGCCTGAAGGATAATGGAACAGAACTCTGGGTCCAGTCCCAGCTCTATCACATACCTCCTCTGACAAGTGGCCAAGCCACTTTCCCACTGTGGGTCTCAATTTCCCTTTGGTAAAATGAGAGATTTGGAGTAAATCAGTGATTTTCAAACCCTTTCAACTATAAAACCTTTTCTTTAAAAGAAAAATTGCTGTTAAATTTCTAAAGCATAAAGATAGGCAGTTCTGGAATGAGTGGGTGGTGGATGAGTATATATTGGGGGAGAGGGACGAGAGGGCAGTAGCTCTTTTCAGCACAGTTTGAAAATCACTAGATTGTATTTATTTCTAAAAAGTCCCTTAAAATTTTGACATTCTAGGATTCTTTTCCAGGCCCAGGGTCCCAGACGGCAGAACATGAAGGCCTCAGGCCTTGAAACCTGATCAGAAATTAATTTCCTGTCATAAAATCCTTGTGACATGCATCTCATGGCCACTACGGAGATGGGCTACCTGCTGGGCAGCTTGAGAGAATTGCTGTCTATGAGGAACAGAGACTATTAAGTGTTTACATTTGAAACAAACAAAAAAACCCCATCTTAGACTGATATACTTTAAACAGGCTTTTGTGGGTAGGTTAACAGCATGAGGTGACCATAAGTTGCCAAAAAAGCTTTTTGGTTCAGAACAGACGTGCCCTGACATAGCTTCTCGGAAGCCATTATGTGGAGGGGGTGATAGAATAAGGGGCGGGGTCTTCATGTTCCAGGTAAAATCTTAGATTGCAGTTCTTCATTTTGTAGGCAAGCTAAGCTAAGAGTAGGCCCAAGCTTTCTCCTCCCAGAAGTGGCCAGGTTATTCCACAGTGGATGAGGGCCTGAGGAAGGGAGCATTGGGGTCAGGGAACAAAGTCTTAGGTTCTGACTAAGGCAAAGGTCCTAAGACACATATGACAAATCATGAAAAAACTCTGGAAATAGCAAATCCTGCAGTAAGGAAATCTAATGTTCCTTTTATTTTTATTTTAAAGATTGACTTATTTGAGGGAGGGGAGGGGAAGAGGGAGAGAATCTTAAGTGGACTCACTGCTGGGCACAGACCTGCTCCCCACCCGCTGCGGGGCTCAATCTCAGGACTCTTGAGATCATGATGAAATCAAGAGCTAGCTGCTTAACCAACTGAGCCACCCAGGCGTCCCCCTCCTTTCTTCTAAAAGTTACATTTTGATGTCTGTAGCCTTGTTGAGCAAACCAGGGAGGAGCACGCATTTACCCAAACTATAGGCTTGCTGTGTGATTAACTTCTCTGGGCCTCATCTTTGCAGCTTTCTCCATGATCGCAATGCCTTGGGAAAGGGTAAAAGTAGCTCAGCAAGGAGTAGCAAAGAGAATAGGTTTCCTCATGCTTGGAGCCTGACTCAACTCTTAACCCTTATATTTCCAGTAGATGCTAAGATTAATATTGAAAATATTGCTGTATTTGCCATAATTCATCAAACCCTTAAGTGCTTTTATACGTGTTTTCAGTTGAGGTTGTTGAGTCCTCATTTAACAAGTGGAGAAAAAGGCTCAGATTAAAGAGTTTGCCTAAGGTCACACAGCTAGTTAAGTGCAGTTAAGATTTGAACCCTGATGATCTGATTCCAGAGCCACTCTACAGCACTCAAGAGTTCCAGTCCCAGTCCCCCATGCCCAAAAGGCTAGTACTTATTAGTGTAAGTTCAGACATCAGGTGGTGACAGTTTCTGGGTTTGTCTTTCTCACTTCTGTCTGCTTTGCCTTGGAGAGGTCTTCAGCTGTCTAACCCAAACCCTTGAATATTCACTACAAGGTGGCAGGGAACTAACATGTACTGAATGACGCCTACATTCCAGCCACTGTACCAAGTGTATTACAACATACATTATTTAAAAGGACTCTTGATGGCAGATTGCCATTATTACCTGCTTCTGTCACTCAACTTGTTGAGCAACTATGAGCTTGATTCTTTTTGAAAAGTGGACATAACAATTGTACCTGCATCAGTACCTATTTTAGGTACATAAGCTGTTTTGAAGGATTAAATGAGAATGTATATATAAGGTACTTAAAATGATGCTTGCTTGGTACATGGTGAATGATCTGTATGATGTATGAGGAAAGTATGAGGAAATGATCTGTATATTTTAGCTATTATTGTCCACAGTCCTCACAAAAGCCCTGTGAGAATAGTAATTTAAGTATTTAATATTTTTATAGTTGAAGAAATTGAGGCTCCGTTTGAGGTCATTCACCCTGGGTTGAGATATGCCTCACATCTGTTAAATAGCAGAGCTGACTTGATTCCAGGCCTCTGGGACTCATCAGTGTTCCTTCCATGGAACCATTTTCAATAGGCAGCTTTCCATCAGCCTCCTTTACCTGCTTGTGCCCTGCCCCATACACATACCTCCAAAAATTTACCACTTCTTACCTAGGAGTTTGTAACCATTCTTTTAACCCTGTGGATTAGAAACCTATCTTCACTCATTTGTTGCAGCACTCATGGATCATTCTCTGGCCTAGGACTGATGGGAATAAAAGATGAAGAGGAAAGCACCACCCCAAACATGTGTTCGTGAGTCTGACCATCATTTTCCATGTGCTGTTTCTTATCCCTCGTGGGCAGTGGCAGAGAATGTGGTCAGGCTATAGCCTTTCTATCTAGCAGACAGCTTTTGTGGAAATGATGTACCACTTAAGAAGTTCGGTCCATTTATATGGCATGTACAAATGTTCAATAAATGCCTAAAATTCAAGCATCCTCATCTTAAGACAGGGTGAGAAGGAAACCAGTTTGTACTTTTTTATGTCACTGGACTTATACACAGGAAATTTGTACTAGGTGCTCATTCCATGTAACACTTCTATTAAATGGTATATGTAGGTAAGGAAACCAGGAGGGAGGGACTTTGCTTTGGAGAAAATCCAGCCATTATGCAGGTTGTCAAAGCTGTATCTATGAAGCAAATTTATGAACGCAAATTTTTCTCATTGACAGCTGTTACAAAATTGAAGGAAAAAGATAGGCTGAACTGAAAATTTGGCAGGTCCACACACAGGAGAATGGAAGACTGTGCTTTTTACCAACACTGGAAGCACCCTTCCAATTCCATTTTTAGGAATGCTTCCTTCCCCCCACCCTTCAGTGAGATTGCAGTGTCACCCTTCACCAGTAGGTGCCTCCATCATATTGGATCTCCCCCTTAAAACTGAAAGCTTCAAATTCAGTGAAAGCTACTCCTCTGCTTTTTTATCAACTCTCAAAATATTAACATTCTGTGTTGGAAAGGACATGGGTACAGGTACATACAACTCTGAAACAGAAATATTTATCTGCCCTCTGGAAAAGATGAACTAATCTAGCATACAATATGTATCATACCAAAACCCTTGTAAATTGCTTCGTACGTTAGGATCCAGCAATTCCACTTCTATAGTAGCATACTACAATAATAGTATAGATGTACACAAACATGTATGGAGGAGATACCACAGGGGGAGCCCAATGGAATTCCTGGTAGCCATTTTTAAAAATTATGTGCGTGTAAATAAAATTTCTAGTAAAAAGAGATCTGCAAGAAGTAGCAGTTGACCTCTGGATACAGACTCTGAATCCTAGCTTCCCTACATATTGTGTGAACTTGAGTACACACCTCACGGGATTGGTGTTGAAGATGTGATTATGCATTCCCAGTATATGTTGTAGGAAATATGGAGGCTTACAGAATAGTGTGTATAGTTTGAGTCCTTTTTCTGTAGATAAAGGTACACAAAGATATGCATAGGCTTGGAACAAAACCTGGAAGGCTGTATGTCAAATGTGGTGGGATCAGAAGATTAGGTGTTACCAAACTGCTTTTGGTAATCACCATATGTTCCTTTCATAACTAGAATACCTAAAATTAATTCTCAAGGTTAGGCATTTGAGGCAGTGTTTAACCGTTTAACTTCTGTAAGAGCCAGCCCTATGTAAAAGTTGGGAACCAGGAGCCAGAACTGAAGAGCTTGATTTAGGATCAAGACACTGCAACTTGAAGCTCCCTTGTAAAGTGGAAAGTTTCCCCAGGCATACATACAGTGGAGGCCCTGAGACTATCTTGAAACTGACAATGTTACTGGATTCTTTGCCCACCCCCAGGTGAGCTCCAAAGCTGTAAGAGCTTAGCTGCTGTTTACTTCTTGAGACTCCAGTCCTGAGACAAAATAAGTGTCTGCCTTTGAATATGGACAGATCTGGCCTGGCACTTGAGCTCTGCTTCTGGGCAAGCCACTTAATCTCATCTGAGTATATTTTCACAGCTTATAAAATGAGAATAATCTTTTTAAGGATTATTGTGAAAATTCAATAATCCAGGTTGTGGAAAAATGACAGAATAGTGGGCTATATATATAAGGACTTTCCCTCTCTGAGCCTGTTAACTCACTTTTAAAATGGGGACATTAGTACCTACTTCATGCGGTTATGAGGATTAAATTAGGGAAAACCCCACATTAAGTGTTCAATAAATGACATTTACTGAGGAGCATCTTCCAAGTGCAGGATCACAGAACAAATTAGGTTCCATGTGCCAAGAATACTGCCTTTGCTCCTAGGAATAGCTAAGGCCATTTCCTTCTGGATGGGAGGTTTCCCAGTGGGCCCCCAACTCCAGAACTCTACAGAGATGGGCCCAACCATAAGGTCTCTGAGGCCTCAGTCTGCACACTCTGTTCTTTCAGCTGATGCTCCCACCTTTTGGAAGCCAAAGCTGCCAACTTGGCCTCTTGCAAAACACACATTCCATTCATAAGTGCGTTTGTGCATTTTTCCTCCCACACCCTTCTAGGCAGCCAAGGCAGCTGCTGGAGAAGCAGCTTCTCATTTGGGGGAGAAAGGCAACTCCCAAGGGTTTTTACACAACTCTTGATTTAGGCTTTGAACATATTACTCCCAATTTTCTGACCTCCTCGCCCACAGTGGAACGGTTTAATACACTCAGCCATGTTTGTTTTCATTTCTTTTGCCCCTTTTGTAAATAACCTCTTCCCTATTATAAAGAAAACCAATTAATGGAAACTTCAAAAATCCACAAAAGGTAAAATCGCTTCTAATGCCACCACTCAGAGTCAACAACTGTCACTATTTCAGTCTTCTGTCATACTTTTTACATCATTCAAAAGCAGATTTTTTAATAGCTGCATAGTATTCAACATGTTGATGTGTGTCATAATTTCTAAAACAGTCCCCTGTTGTTGACACTGAAGTTGTCCCCAACCAATTATATCCTTGCACATACATCTTTGATAAATGGTATTTGTTAAGGAAAAATTCCTAGAAGTGAAATTGGGTTAAGGAGTATGAACACCTAAGGTTGTTTTAATTCCACAGAAGTTTTTACTGTGTTAGCTAGCGTGGACTTGGTTCAAATCTTTGCTAATGTGGTAAGTTAAAAAAAACTTTCCATTACATAAACAGATACAATTTCTATTTATTTAAATATCCTGTAGATTGGCATTTATTTTTTTCAGAAGCTTTTTGGCCAGTTTTTAAGGTCTCCTTATGGATTAAGTACAGTGTCCATCTATTGATTACTGCAAAAATGTTTCTAGTTTTTTATTTTAAGGTAGTTTTAGAAGTCTTACGATTTCTTCTATTTGCTCTTATACTTAGAAAGTCTTGATTGATCCCGAGATCAATTTAATAGCCATTGACAAGTAATATATGGGTTTTTTTTTTGGGGGGGGGGCTTGTTTTTTAAGTAGGCTCCATGCCCAGTGTGGAACCCAGCACAGGGCTTGAACTCAGAACTATGCAGTCGAGACCTGAGCTGAGATCAAGTCTCACACTTAACCCACTGAGCCACCCAGGCACCCCTATATGGTTTTTTAAAATAATTTAATTTTTACACTTAAGCCTTTATTCCTCCTGGAATTCATTTTGGTATATGGCAACTTTTCCCCAAATATTTAGAATTTTACCCGTTTACTTATCTTTACTTACCCAATCAAGGAGAATGTGTCCTTTACTGTGTAAGTCCATATACACAAGAGCCTGAGTGTTTTCTTCTGTCTTGTCTTATACTAGGTACCATACCATTTTGTAGCTCTTTATTTTAATATACTAGCAATTTCAGCAGCACCACCCCAGATAAACACAGGGCCATGGAGAGTCCCCATCAGCATGGATTATAAAACACTATAGTCAGGTGCTTTGCTGTTGACTGCACTGTTGCCATATTCCACTGGGACTTTTTCAGCACCCCTAAGGCAAGAGAATCAAGGTTGGAACATTACAGAGGAAGAATATTAAGCCCAGGGAAGAGCGTTATGGCTTTCATAAGACAGGGCCTCCTGAGAAGTCACAACAAAGGAAAGGAAATGGAGAGGATAGGCTGGCTCCCTTACCTCTCCTTCCCCAAGACTAACCCTTTGGACCTAGTTCACAACCCAGAGCTAAAATGGGATTTCCAGAGCCAGCCCAGTCATGTGCTTTTGGCAACTGGGTTTGAGAAGAGAGAGGATGCCAGTGCTGAGGTGACTCTTCTGTACTTCTCTGAACCCTCAGCACTACCTTCTGTAAGCCTTTTCTGCTAGAAAACATCCATTCTACATGCAGTTAAGCTCATCTCTGGTGTGAAGACGTTGCTTGCCCCTCATCTAATCAAACTGGATTTTAGCCATATATAATCTGTACACCACCACATCAACACTTGGAATAGCTCCAGGCTCTATACAAGCACCCAAATCAGTATCTTTCACTTTCAAATTCTCCAAACCTCTATTTGTTAAGGCCCTGGCTGGGCTCAAGTCAGAAAGGCCCAAGCACAGAAGACACAAGCACCAAGAGCCAACTGGGTTATAAGTACCTGTTTCGGAGACAGACTTTTTAAGTGAGAAAAAAATGTAACCTCCTCCCACCCCCCACCCCATTTCCTTCCAGCCTTCATCTGATGCTAACCTTGGTAATAAGGGAAGAAGAGAAAAGAAAAAATTCCAGTTCATTGAGGAAAACTTTCAACCTTCTCCCTAGCTAAAAGATGTAGCCATGACTCCCAAGTCCTTTCCAACTGAAAGGAAAAATAAAAGCACATCTAGTCCCACCACTGTACTTACTTATTTTTAGGAGATACCAACATGAGGCTGGAAATCTTTGGGAAGGTCATTAGGGCCTCCATCAAAGAAGTGAGTAAGATGGCTGGCCAATAGCTTTCCTGAATATAAACAATAACAAGACAGAAAATACAATGAAAGGAAGCTAAGGGTCATAACTGGTCTACCATAATCAGACTTCTAGGATGTAAGAGCCAAATAGAGCCATCAGGGATCATGTTAGTCTAAGCCCCCCCCACCCCCATTTTGGCACAGAGGGAAGTTAAGCCCCTAGGAGGAACAGTGACCTGAAAGGTCCGGTGTGACCATGCCAACCCCCATCTCTTCCTCTCTGGATTCCTTGCATTACTCACCTGACATCTTACGTGATTTAGGTGCTTTTTAAAGGCTTTTAAATCCTAACCCTCTGATGGAATTAAGTCTCTTGATTTTACAGATGAGTAAGGAAACTCGGAATTTCACTAACTTGCCAAAGGTCACACAGCAGTGGCACTTGACAGTTTCAGCTTGTCTCCTTTGCCTTAATCACTGCCAACCTGATGTAGGAGCCATCCATTAGCACAGTGCTCAAATTCACTTTTTGTTCCTCGTGGGAATCCATATCAGTTGCTACAATAAGACTATATAGGTAGTGGCCCTCTGAGGACTCATTTGCTTTTTGCCTACAAGTATTAGGACCCCAAAGGCCATTAAGTTGGTGAGTGGGAAGTCAACATCCATGTTTGAAGTCTGAGGATCCTGTACCATCTGGATTATTTTCCAAAGCATAGGAACTGCTATCCAGTATCACGTTGGAAGAGGCTCCCGACGGATAAATCTCACCCCAGAATAAAGTCACTGGTTTGGTTTTTTAGTGTTTTTTTTTTTTTTTCTCAGAATTGTCAATAGTCAAGTAAACAAATTTATTAAATCCAACAGCAGGTAACCTTCCAAATAAAAAAAACATCAAAAGAAAAATGTAGACAAAGACAAAAGTGTGTGTAACAAGTTAATAAAAATATTCAAGGGGCCATTTGGAGAGTGCAACAGTGCAGAGAATACAAACAAAAGTATTGACCTTTGTCAACAAGTTTGTACAACCTCAAGAAACAGACACACTGGTCAGAAACCAAGAGGAATCCACAAAGGTGGAGGGTCACATGAGCAGTGGACTCATCACCTCAGTGGGTTAAGGCAGGGTATCTGTAGGACCAATTCATTCAAGCCCCCATTTGCCTATTGTTTCAAGTTCCCCTTTGAAACCTAGAATCATACTCATTAGTGCAACAGGTAAGAGCAATTAATTACAGACTCGGGCTGGGGACCAGAATCAGAGGGAAGACACTTCTCCCAGAATAAATTGGGGGGTGGGGGAGAGACACAGCATCTGCTGAATGGCTTCCTTTGGCAATATCCAAGAGTATGTTGTGTAGTAAGTAGTAAAAAGGGAAGGTGGGTGGTAGAAGAAGGTATCCGTGAAAGCAGGCTTAGTTTCCAAGAGGAATAGGGAGGATGTGAGGCCCCAGCACCTGAATCAGAAGCAGAACCTGATGGTTACTCAAAGCTATTTGAATCATCTTGGCTTCTGCAACCAGTGCTCAAGCATAACTCTTTTTCAGTAAGGAAAAACACCTGCAGATCCTCACTAGAACACGGACCCCAGTCCAGGTTAAACTGGATATATGCTATAATACAGCTAACTATAGAAATAAACTCTGAAAGGGGGTGGGTGGGAACCCCCTCTAGGATTCAGAAAACAGATTATGGAGTAGGAGGAGGATCAATGAGATATGTCCTCAAATGAGTCCCAATTAACACACTTTAATAACCTTTAATAGTCCTTTTGGCTGTTTAAACAAGTTTCTGCTAGAGTCCCCGCAAAGGAAGACCTTTGTCAGTTACCAAGATTTTTCAAGTCCCCCCCCCACCACCCCCCACCAAGGGAAGACCTTTGTCAGTTACCAAGATGTTCAAGTCATCACTAAGCAAACATTAAGAGACAAGAACGCAAAGCAGGCAGCTAAAACAAAACAAACCTAGCAGCAGCTTCTCTCCAGCCCTTGTAATTGTATAATTGGGTCTACTCCTGGGCTTCACTACACTCAAGACTTGTCTTTAAATGTGGCAAACCAGTCCTAAATACAGATGTTTTGGTTTTTAAACTTTCAGGCCCAAGTCCTTATCCCAGTCATTTCCCACCGTTGTTTGATGGAGTTTGGCAGAGTACATAACTTGAGGCCATCACGTGAACTATGGAGTTCCACACCCTGCAGGCTCCAGCACTGAGGCCTGAATTTTGGCACCAGTCTCTGGGAGATCAGAACTGTATCAAAGACTAAAAACTCTGTGGCTTAATCCCTTCTTCCTTTCCAAGAAGGCTAGTTTGTGCCTTCCTTAGGGAAGTTTAATACTGAAAACACTGCCTTGTACATTTCCAATTGGGATTTCTTTGGGCCTCTGGGCTTGGGTGAAATTTGGATCTTCACCCAGCTCTAATTTTTCTTATCAGAAGAGTAGATAAGGGAGTCTTGGACCCAACTTACACATGTGGGCACACTGGCACAGATGAGGGAAAACTGTTGAGGCATCCAGCTGAAGCATAGCAAAGTGTCATTGCAGGAGGTGGGGTTAATGATACATTCAAATATGGCAGAGATGGGGGAAGAGCATTTCAATGAAGCAACACTTCATCTCATACAGCTTTCTAATACCTAAAGAAACACCACAAACTCAAAGCCATTTGCCAAAAACCAAGAATTTCCAATACATACTCAATTTCTTGTAGTCACCCTCAGATATTTGCCTATTTTCAAAATAGCATCCACATCCTGCCCCTCTTACACCACCCTGATATTACATTGTTAAAGTGAGGAGCACGTTGGCTTACCTGAGGAGCATGCATTTGGCCTCTTCCACACAACTACTGCTCATTTAACAGCAAACCTATTTCTAGGTTAAAAGGAACAGGGACCTTTCATTTCCCAATAGTGTGACTACAAACCCTACACACACCCCACCTTCGATCCCTTTGCAAAAAAAACCTGCTTTTCCTGTGGTCAAGTCAAACACTGGCCCAGAGCCACTACAGAAGCTTGGAATTCCTTGCATCAGGAACGCCAACTTGGATAGAATCTATAAGTCCTTCCCTAACTGCTCCCTTTTCTGGGTTTCTCAATTGCATTTCTGTAACAAAAAGGTCATGAAAAATATAACCAAAAATAATTTACTGGCTCTTTTTGTGGGGAGGCGGAATAGTTAACAAAATCCACCCATTCTAGCACACCTAATGCATGGAATGCCACCTTGTAGGCTAGGGAAGGAATCCAGTTCCTCCAGAGTCCTCAGGATCCTCGGTGCCTCCCTCTTTTGTGCACTTCTCTCCATATACCCTCGTAATTAAGACAGAAGAGAGCCTTACCTGGCTAGGAGCAGCCCACCTTTTCCCTTTTTCAACCTCTACCCAGTCTAGAATCAGGAAAAACTAGGGGTTGCAGGACTGGCTAGATGAGAAGGCAGTCTCTCTTAAGACCTCAGTCTGGGCACCCTGACTACAGTTGAGCCCACAGAACCCGCTGGGGCCCCTAGAAACTCTCTTTATACAAGGAGCTTGTGTCTTAGGCTAGAACAAAGCCAGACATCTGGCCTGAGACCCTCTTCAGCTTTCCAGCAGTACTGCTACCTTACTGTGGCTGATTTTAAAGTTTCCCTTCTGCCCCTCTAGAAGGGGCAACTGCCTGGTTTAGGATCTTAAAGAAAAAAATCAAACTCCACAAGTATGTTTCCTATGTCAGTGTCAGTCTTGGAAAAACATCGACTGCAGAAACTCCTTAGGGAATCATCTTTAGGAAGATGGGAGCCTGGAGCCATAAGGCTCCTCCTAATAAAGGAACTCAAAATAAGCAATTCCTGCCCAGGCTGAGAAACATATACCTGGGAGGCAGATGGAAGTAGTTAGGGAAGAAAACTCCAAATGTTTAATAGACAAACTCTCATTACCTCAAGAGTATAAATATTATATAGGTTTTTATTTAAAAGATTCCCTTTTCAATCTGTTCCAAAGTGTTGGGAGCTGAACTGTACAAGTTCCTGCCACCCACCCCTCCAGTACAGTGTTTTGAGGACATGTTTTTTTAGATGGAAAAATAACAAGAGGACCCTCTACTAAAACCAGGTAGGACCAAAGTCAGCTCCTGTGTGGCAGTTTGGCCAAAGCTGGCCTTATGGAGCAAGCACGCAGAGGAGTCTGGGGAACTGGGCCTCCCTCTTGTGAGGAAAGGGCTGAGAAAATTCATCCTCTCTTTAGTGAAGATGGTCCAAATTCAGATGCAAAAGCCTCCATTTGTGACGTTCCCTGGCACTCTTCTTATGCTTTATATATTGAAGGCAGCTCCCTCTTTTATGGCCAGTTTTAGCAGGCAAAGAAACAAAGGAATATAGATACATATATGTGTATATATATATTTTATATAGGTAAAATATATACATATCTTATATATGTATATATACATATTTGGGGGTAGGGGAAGGAGAGGAGGGTCATGTAAACCTAAACAGTCATCACATTACCCCAAATGAGCCTGACATTAACAAAGAAGATAATAAATAACTCCTGGGGGTTAAGTGACAACATGGGTGCAGCAAGAAGGGAAAGGGCATATGTTTAACTATTAAATACACTTCTATATTTGTTTGGCAGAGTTCAGGCCAGTCCCAGGCTTCTGCCCTTGCCAGACAAGTAAGCTGATGATACTCAAAAAAACTTTAAAGGAAAAAAAAAAAATTCAAGCAGAGCTCCATACCACAGTTTTCCTTCAAGTCAGTTGGCCGGCAGGCACAGTTTTCCGACCACCAGGAACAGAAACTTTGGCTCCAAGGCAAATGAAAAAAAAACAAAACAAAAGTATTTTCACTTACAACATGAAAATACAGAAAATTCATCAAAAAAAGAAAACTATCAAAGTCTACTTCCAGCAAAACTGAGGTAGCACTGCTTTCTCTGCATTCAATGCTTAAGTGGTTCTCAGTACTATGTGTTCTAAAAAAACAAAAAAACTGCTCACTTGACTGACAGGTGCAGCATGTTGATGGATGAACTCAACATGAAATGCAATAGGTCAAAGAAGGAATGAGCAAGAAGTGAAGAAAATAACGGTTTCGGATAAATTAGCTTAAAAGGGGGTTGTCACCAGACAACAAATGCTCTTGGCTGGCCTTGGCTCTCCAAGAGCTTTAAATCGCCTGGGAATTAATGCAATATGGTTAACAGTTAACACTGCTATTCAATTCTGTGTAAATCTTTTAAAATAATTATTACAACCTAAATTCAACCTTGTAAACAGCACTACACACAGTACAGACCTGCCCTGGAAAACAGAATATGCAAAACTGAGATCTGGCACTGTATCATCTTGTAATGTTAATTCAACCTAACCGTCCCATTCCCCCCCTCCCTGCTCTATGCCCTCCCCCACAAAAAAATCTAATTTGTGCAAGAAATGGCAGGCTTATTCTAGCTGAAGGCTTAAAGGAAAAAAAAAAAACAAAAAACACAACATGTAGCCAGGTTCAAATATTTTGGGGGACCCCCCAAAAAGAAATAACCAAAATAACCAAAAAGTGAAGAAAGTGCCTAAAACATGATACAGCATTTTAGAGCCCTTTCAGATACAAGGCAGAGAAAGGTGTAAAGTAGAAAATATCTGGATCTTCAGTAATTTCCAGAAAGGTCCAATTACTCGGTTGGCTGCAGGGCAGCAGGCAGACCCTTGCTGCTACTGCTGCTCCTGGGCTAGAGCCACTAAGTCTGCTCCCCGGGACACAAGCCCTCGGGCCCTGAGCTGCGTGCACCTCTCCCTTCCCCTTCTCTTTTCCTTCGCTCCATTTCCCACTCCACAAAGGTGTCGAAGAGACTTGGCCAGGCCTCATCTTCACTGTAGTTGCTGAGGTCAGGCCCAATCACCTGAGTGAAGTTAAGGAACATGTTCCAAGTGTCCCGGGAGATGCCCTTGATCCCCGAGGGGTTCTCAGTTAGGAAGTTTAGCCACTGGTCCAATACTGGAGGGTTGTTCTGGGTAAAGACTAGTTTCCACAGGGCAATGGCTATTTCCCGATGCAGTGACCGCTGCCCTTCTTCAGAGTCCAGACCAAACTGAAATGTAAACCGGTAGAGATCCTTGAATTTATCCTCTTGTTTGGCTTCCGTTAAGAGGCTAGGGAACCGTGCACAGATCCCATCAATGCTGTCTGCACTTATTGCTTTGCAGCCATCAAAAAACTCCTTCCTGCAACAGGAAGGAGGGGGTACAATTAATATTTGTAAACAATACCATCTGCTGAGAGGCAATATAGCAAAGTAAGTTAAGAGCATGGCTTTGAGGCTGGACGGCCTGCATCTGAATTCCAACTCCTCCACTAATGAGTCCTATTTCTTCATCTGTCAAATGGTGAGAACACCACCTTACTTCATAGGGTTTTGGTGAGGGTTACACACGTTAATATGTGTCAACTGCTTCTAACAGTGTCTGGCACATGGCAGGCAGCTGATGGTGGTTGGTTCATTCACTTATTCATCCTTCCAAAGCGAAACTCCAGTCTCTCCTGCTCAATGCCCTATTTCCCATTCTGCAACAGTGATTAAGCTGCAGACTCCCCTCCCAGACGGGGAGTCTTCCTGCTTTCCTTTTGATTCTCTATGGGTTGTTTGTTTTTGGAATACTTTTGGTGACTGTCAAGGGAGATCTTTGGAGCCAAAGATTCTGGATAAATCTGGCTAACTCTGCCACCAGAGATCAAAGTTCTGTTATTAAAAAACAAAAACTGCATATGTATTTTTAACATCTACATAACACTTTGAGGTTACAACATAGTCTCTCACTGATGATCATCTCAGAGACTGCTTTTCAGCTGAAGATACAAGGCATCTGAAGTCTGTCGGGCAACCTACCAGGGGGTGGGGGGAGGGTCTCAAAGCCAATTCTTATTTATAAGCCGGTGCTCTGCAAACCACACCTTGGGGTGACCTTGCCACCCCCTCCCCACAAACAATCTCTGCAGGCCACAGGGCCGAGGTGATGTGCACACGCGCTGACGGAGGCGCTCCCTGGACTGGCGCGCACAGTGCCTGGCACATGACAGGTGTAGATAAATATCAAGTGGGTGAGGGAGTGAGGGAATCGACAAGTAATGGAGCAGAAGCAAAGAGAAAGGTCCGAAACAGCAGTGGGGCTGGGCAGCAGCGTCCGGCCCCGGGGCATCACGTGGGTTATTCCTTAACTTCAGACCAAGACGGTCGTTACTGGTCAAAAAAAGAAAGACTTACCCAAAACCCTAAGAAGCCAACCCAGTTCTCCCCCAGCTGGGCCCCACTACCCAGGAGTGCACGCGTCCTCCTCCGCTCACCTGGTGACATGACGTATTTGTGACTAACCTGGTGAATTTGCACATGGTGGCAGCCTGGAACTTCCAAGCCAAGAGCAGCACTCGAAATTCCGTGGGGTCAACACACAAGTCATTGCAAAAGCGCTCCATGCCTTCCTCCAAAATTGCATCCTCCCGCTCATCCTTGTAGCGCCTGAACAGTTCTTCCAGCCTCTGCAGGGAAGACTCCTCGGTGTCGGACTTGGGCTCCCTCCCAGCATCTCCAGAGGACGTCGGCAGCTGCCAGGGCTCGGCGGCGGCCTCTGCCTTCTTGGTCCCATTGACGAGGATATCCCCCCCTGGCTTGCCACAGGCCGGTGGCTGTTCCTCGCGGTGGCCTGCGCTCCGCCTGCTATGTGGCTTGCCGCCGGGGTCACGGTCTCCGTTCTTGCTGCCCAGGGTCGATGAGGGATTCTTGCACTTGGTGACGCACTGGCCCATGGTGCTGGTGGCCTGGCCTCTAGAGTGGCCCCCTCTGGATCAGATGCCCTCGCTGCCACTGGCCCATGTGCCTCAACATGCCATCAGCCAGAGGAGCCAGCCAACCTAGAAGAAAATTACAGAGCAGTTACCACTGGACAGGGAGACGGGCATTCGCAAGCTCCATTCCCTTCCCCTGCGGGGCGCTGCGGCCTGGGCCACCACTCTATTTCCGTGAGCCAACCATGAACCAGGGGAGATACCCAGAGTCCATCACCACTTCCCCCCGTAAGTTCTACACCTTCATGCTGGAAATGCAGGGTTAGGACACATACAGAGAACCAGTAAGAAAATTCCTAAAATTCTTAAGGTAACACAGGTTACAAAGAGGTTGATTCATGTGCAGAACGCATCAAGGAAGACTACAGTTTTGCCAGAAATATTCCAGAGGAAATCTGTCTTGCCAACTTGCCATCACATTAAGAAAGTTATTTGGTCCTGGGTTAAGCCAGAAGGTGCAAATAAAAAGTTCATTTTCTAGTCTCTCATGTCAAAATCCTCAGATTTTTTTTTTTTTTTTTAAGATTTTATTTATTTATTTGAGACAGAGGGAGCACA